AAATCATATGAAAAATGATCCACATCAGACTCTAGTGAAGCTTCCGTGTAACAATTTATTTAAACGAGGGCCCAAAAAAACCAAATTGTACGTATGTTTGATGCTATAACAAAAGCTATTATATGATTTATATACTAGGGGGCATGCCTAAATATTTTACTGTGCCTCCTACCCTACTTCATAGCTACTAAACGTACTTGTGTTGGACTTTATGTAAGACACAATGTATATGTTATATAGTTTTTTTAATATGAAGATAATAATAAATGTTCTTTATCCATAATATAAAATATTTCTACAAAATTAATACTAAGAACACAAATAGAATCGTTTACTAATATGTAACTAAAAAGTAATAATGCCATATACGCAATGACACAAAATTCCCATAAAGGACCAATGATTTCAAGGTCCTTTGAAGTCATTCGAAAAATAAGAAAATGTTCTTCCAGTATTCTTTGGATAATGAAGTATGGGATCTTCATTTATATATTTTGAGTCATACTACACATTAGGGGTCAATTTAATTGTACCTTGGACAAATGGTGAAATTCCAGAAATATCGGTTAGATTAAGTTTATCTTCATAAAGCTCTACTTTATATTTTCTATCAGGTTGAAAAAAGAAGTCTGGTTCTGGGTTATCAACAGAGTTGACAGCTGGAAAAGGTTGGATAGTAACTTCTCGAATATCTGTGAAATATGCGAGAACTCCATTTTCCCATTGAATTTTAACTGGAAAACCAGTCTGAATTTTGAATTTAACCCAATCGGCACTAAGTTGAATGTTTGGTGACTTAACCAAAAGATGATCGATATGTAGTTCATTTTCTGTGCTATAGAGATAAAATGGCATGTGATCTTTTGGGTAATTATCATCAAGATATCTTGTTTGGAGACCACATTTTTTAATAACTTTAATATTTTTCACTTTAACATCCGTTTTCCAATGTTGGCTTAAATAACGAAAGAACGATTAATAAAAATTTTTAATAATTTTCATATAATATCTCAAGTTAGTCTTACCCACTAGGCGGAGGAAGACCTTTATCAATCACAGCTAAAAACTCTTTTCCTGAAATTATGTCATTCAATGTTGTTTTATTTTGATTTCCTAAAATGAAAATTTGCATCGGATTTTTTTTTCTCTCTCTAATATATTCACACATAATTTCCTCAAGGATTTCTGCTTGAAGAATTAGTTGATATCTGTGGTTCTCCATGTTAAACATAGGAAGATGAACAAGATGAATTTTTTCAATCCCTTGAATAATAAATCCATGATAATCAGGTGCAACCTTATTACAAACAATGCATTTCTGTAATATTTAACATTAAAAGTTAAATCTGTTTTTGAATATACAATATTATTCATATAAATATTACGTGCCTTCACTTCCTGTTCTAAAATTTGCTTAAAATCTTTTGCCAACTGACTAAAAAAGTTTCCGGCTGTCGGAAATGGAGACATGACTACGTTTATAAGTGTATACAAGTCTTAATTTTTATTCACGTTAAGACCAAGACACTTTTTAAAATTGGTTAAATATTCTCCGTAATCCTCTTGTTTAAACACTGTTGAAGTTAAAATAAGTTTTTTATCCATCATTTCATTGTCTGGTTTTGTGATTGATAATCTTTCGAAAATACATTGATTTAGATAATTTGCTTCAACGACATCTTCATTTATATTACCATCAATGCAAAAATTGCAAGAAAATGCGTTGATCATTAGGTCGGAACCGAGTTTTTTAATTAAGTTCATTGCTTCCTCATCTTTTACGAGATCTTTATTTGGCCGGTTAACAATGTGATTACGTATGAATTGTTTTTGTTTTTCAACTTTTTCGGAAGACGTATCTGGCTCGAGTTCAGCTAGAAGTATATTAAATGGAACAATAATGAAAGATGTTTTATCTGTTGACATAGTAGCCCAATTACAATACACCTGTTATAAAAAAATTATATATGAATGTCCATTTATAAGTTAGAGATTCAATTAATATGCCGCAAAATATATCTTTGCACAAGAAAACGTTGCTTCACCTAGTAATATACCATGACCATCTCGGTTTAATTCAATAACTTTGTGAGATAGATAAACACCGACAGGAGCTGCACCTGGGTTACTGAACATATTGAAATGAGCAAGGCTAATTTATTGTATATAAAACGATTAAAAAGCTAATTACCAGTAGTTTAATTTTACCTGCCTTCAATACCATAAACACCAATGCTTTCATCATTTCGAAACACAATTGGACTTGTCCGGGTAATAAGATACCTCATTCTATTGTCTTTATAGCATAGCCCACCAGCTGGATATGGGCAGTATCCGCTTTTGTGAGGGTCGATAGTAATAGAATCACAGCACTGTAAGTGTCTTAATTGCGTCATAGTATATTCTTTCAAGGCTAATTCAGGGACATAATCCCTGTCGGGAAGTTTGGGCATAGGAATAGAATAACGAAGCATTGAC